GTGGGTGAGTGTGAGAAGAGACCGCTAGGGGAGCGTGGGGGAGAGGAGAGACCACTAAGGTGCAGGGGAGAGCTCTACGGGACAGAAGGGGCAGCTCTATAGGACAGGGGCCAAGACAGGGAGCTCTTTCACACTACGCGCACACACACACACACACACACAATGCATCCCTATACATACACAGAAACACAACATGCTTCCCTACACACAGAGAAACACACAATGCATCCATTACACACACACACACACACAATGCAACCCTTACACACAAAGACAATGCATCCTTTGCACACATACACAGAAACAGACAATGCAAACCTGTACACACACATGCAAACACACACACTTCTTTTCTTACATACACACAGAAACACAATGCATCTCTTACACTCAATGCACACACATACAGACACACACCTTGCATCCCTTATGCATACAAACACAGATTCACACAATGCATCCCTTACACACAACCAGAAACACATAATACATCCCTTATACACAAATACACACTGCTTCCACTACACACAAACACACTACATCACCTGCACAAACTGGTAACCCTATACACTACATACCATAAGCACACATATTAGATCCTCTACAATAACACATAACACATCCCTACACACTCCACTCCCTGTGAGCGAACTCATGGGTGGGTGGAACTTATGAGTGGGCCTTATGGGCATACTCACCGTCAGGCCCTGGGGCCCAGACCTTGAGCTGTGTAAGGGGCCCCAAAAAATGGAGCTGCTTCCAATTCTCCCAGAACATTGAATTTTGTGACCACAGCTGCAAACAGCCTCCAGAGATCCTGTTCTACACCAGACCAGTGGAGCCAAACTGCAGCCCATCATCATCCTCATCTGCTTGTAAGTAGGCAATCTAGTATATTATTAGTGACACTAATCTATAATGTACCTCACATTAAAGGGACACTATAGCTTAATGAAGTGGTTCTGGTGTCTATAGCTGGTCCCTGCAGGCTTTTTAATGTAAACACACACTGTGTGCAGCACTGGCGTTAGTTCATATGGGTGGGACATTGTGATGTCACATGGGGGGGCAGCAAATTTTTATTTTGTCTAGGGCGGCAAAAATCCTTGCACCGGCTCTGATCCTGGGCAGGTGCACCAGTCTACTGGTGACCCACAGGAGGGGAGTGCACTGATTGCACTGCACTCTCCTCCTGCCCAGCCACATCTTTACCGCAGTGCAAGTGCCCTCTGCCCCTAATTTACAGTGGCTCACACTCACAACAAGCAGTGCCTGGAGCCGTGAAGGAGCGGGTATGGCAAAGAGCTACTGATTAGCATAACATCAATATCCGTTATAAAACCAGGAAAAGGTGGGCATGGATGGTGAACTGATTTGGTGGTGCAATGGGCCACTTGACTGGTTTTGCCCCCCAGGCCTAAGGCTGCCAGCCCTCCCCTGCTCACTGCTGTGGCTGATGGAGGAGCATGTCTCTGTACCATGCTCCGAGCATGGTACAGAGACATGCTCCTCCATCAGCCACAGCAGTGAGAGGAGCAGGGCCGCCGGACCGGGGAAGCTGCCCCCCCGCCCGGCGGCTCCAGCCAGGAACGCGGCCGGCCCCCTGTTATCTGTTCTAACTCTGTATCTGAACACTACGCTGGTGCGATGCATTATGGGGCTGGTAAATATTTTTTTTCCAGGGCTGCTTTTAATTCCCAGTCCGGCCCTGCTGTTGCTATAACATGTTATCGCACTATATTGCCAGCATAAACAAGTCAAGCAAGCTGTAGGTTCTCATTCTAACCCAGATGGAAACTTAGATGTAAATTAGCAAATCCCCCTCTGGAAATAAAATATGGTTCAGATGAGCAAAGTCACTGCAGTGGCCACCTGGAAACAAGATGTAAGCTTACCCACCCACCTACCAAAGAAACGTGGAACTAAAACAGTAAGAGCACATTGTAGTGTGATTCCTTCTCACTATATACAGTACCGCTAGCTCCATGCTATGATGTTTAATGCCCATCGGTATAGAGGCAGCTGCGTAAACAGAAAGTCTAAGAAATCTGTGCCTCTAGGCACTTTAAATGTAAATCTGGCCCTGTGTGCACAAGCTATTCAATACATATTTTTTTTTTTTTTTTTTTTAAATATGAGTGATATTTAACCCCTTAAGGACCAATGACTTCAAGTTTTCATGATGCCTGAAGTCTGCATGTGCAGCATTTTACTATAAAACGCTGCACATATAGAGATTAACGACTTAGCTGCTGTAGACACCTCACACAATATCATAAGCCAGCCCAGAACAAAGTTCTGTGCTAACTAATATCAATTCTG